GAGGTGTAGGCACCTCGGAATGATTGTGCTAAGCTAGCACTAAGTCCCTTCCCCGTCCACCTTTATTCTTTTCTTCACAATAAGGCTTTCAAATAAGTCATGGTTGTACGGCAGTGAAGCATTGGTGTTGAACACTGGTGTCATGTTGTCGATGATGATGATGATGATGCTGATCAATGTTAATGAACATGGGATCACTATGTATAGCTATCTTGGAGTTTTGTCGCATGGTACACCATACATTTCAAAACAGACTTCACTTTTCGTCGAAAGACAGTTTCCGAAGTTCACAAATATTCAGTATAACGGTCACTCGTTTTTTTCAAACTCTGTACAACTGAGCTGTTTCTTTTCTTTTTTTGCTTTGCAGAAAGTTATCTCAGATGTCCTCAAATATGTTTGATATCCTCGCTGATTAGTTGATCGTCTAATTGCGAGTTTTGTCCGTTTATTATGTTGTTCTGGTTGACCCAACTCGTGATTACTTTAGGACTGAAATATTTTTTGGAGTGCACCGAATGACTGTAGAGTGACGCGGATACGTGAAAAAGTCAAGTCAACCCCGGGCTTTTATTACCTTATTTTCGTGCCCAGCAAATATCTCTACTCACCCGTTAGCAAGTTCCTTCCGGTAAAACAGACAGTATTTATTTTGATAGCACTAGTCAAAACCACCAGAGATGTTACAGGTTGACCATGTCTTCTTTTTTGTCTTACTCTGAAACAAGATACTTCCTCCGTTACAATATGTTTGTACGTTTGACAAGTTGATCTTGATTCAGGCAGGTAAAACGATTTCGTGGATGTTGTCAGTTCTATTATCGGCGCTGATCTCAGCACATTACCAAACGGTTGTTGTAAACATTCAGCGTACATCTCAGTTTGTTTTTGCTATTTAGTTCAGCTTTGAACTAGCCAACCAATCTGTTATTCGCTCTGATCTTGGCACCCAACCACACGCTTTCGTTGTGGTGTTTTGTTCACGAACAAAAGATCAGATGCTAGTCTAAACCAAGTATGATAACATCCCACCGAGCAAAACATTTCTGTCGGTATGTTTCTACCACAGTCTCATTCTAACATCTGAAAGTCTCAGTTTATCTACCCCTCCTGCTTCAGACTCCTGACATTTGACATTGCACTGGTGCTTTGAAGAACACTTAGAGGGATTTCTCTAACAGATCCCACCAGCAGTTTGGACCCGTGTTGAATGAGAAAAGAATAACACCACTGGCTGACCACACTTAATAAAACTTGGAAATAAATGCCAATAAGTTTCAATGGAGCGTCGCAAACGACATCACCTATTTCAGTTGTCTACCTCTTGAGTGCCATGAATCCATAAACTATGTAGCTCGAAAGTCGAACCCTGTGCTGGTATTGTTTGAAGACACTGAGAAGATGCGACACGTGTGACCTCTTTGGAGCTTTCTTCATACGGTGATATCTCTGGTGTCTGCCTTTTCGTTTGTTTTGTCAACGCTAGTCCTTACTCATGCAAGCTCATAGTTCAGGATGGCAGGTAGAATTCTTGCTTCCACTGGCCATTACTGTTCATTCGTTGAACAAGACTAAAGACTAAATCTACTCTCTATTAGCCCGAGGAGTCCTTTCCCTCGGACACTCACACTTGAAGTTTTGTCGCATGGTACATCATACGTTTCAAAACAGACTTCACTTTTCGTCGAAAGACAGTTTCCGAAGTTCACAAATATTCAGTATAACGGTCACTCGTTTTTTTCAAACTCTGTACAACTGAGCTGTTTCTTTTCTTTTTTGCTTTGCAGAAAGTTATCTCAGATGTCCTCAAATATGTTTGATATCCTCGCTGATTAGTTGATCGTCTAATTGCGAGTTTTGTCCGTTTACTATGTTGTTCTGGTTGACCCAACTCGTGATTACTTTAGGACTGAAATATTTTTTGGAGTGCACCGAATGACTGTAGAGTGACGCGGATACGTGAAAAAGTCAAGTCAACCCCGGGCTTTTATTACCTTATTTTCGTGCCCAGCAAATATCTCTACTCACCCGTTAGCAAGTTCCTTCCGGTAAAACAGACAGTATTTATTTTGATAGCACTAGTCAAAACCACCAGAGATGTTACAGGTTGACCATGTCTTCTTTTTTGTCTTACTCTGAAACAAGATACTTCCTCCGTTACAATATGTTTGTACGTTTGACAAGTTGATCTTGATTCAGGCAGGTAAAACGATTTCGTGGATGTTGTCAGTTCTATTATCGGCGCTGATCTCAGCACATTACCAAACGGTTGTTGTAAACATTCAGCGTACATCTCAGTTTGTTTTTGCTATTTAGTTCAGCTTTGAACTAGCCAACCAATCTGTTATTCGCTCTGATCTTGGCACCCAACCACACGCTTTCGTTGTGGTGTTTTGTTCACGAACAAAAGATCAGATGCTAGTCTAAACCAAGTATGATAACATCCCACCGAGCAAAACATTTCTGTCGGTATGTTTCTACCACAGTCTCATTCTAACATCTGAAAGTCTCAGTTTATCTACCCCTCCTGCTTCAGACTCCTGACATTTGACATTGCACTGGTGCTTTGAAGAACACTTAGAGGGATTTCTCTAACAGATCCCACCAGCAGTTTGGACCCGTGTTGAATGAGAAAAGAATAACACCACTGGCTGACCACACTTAATAAAACTTGGAAATAAATGCCAATAAGTTTCAATGGAGCGTCGCAAACGACATCACCTATTTCAGTTGTCTACCTCTTGAGTGCCATGAATCCATAAACTATGTAGCTCGAAAGTCGAACCCTGTGCTGGTATTGTTTGAAGACACTGAGAAGATGCGACACGTGTGACCTCTTTGGAGCTTTCTTCATACGGTGATATCTCTGGTGTCTGCCTTTTCGTTTGTTTTGTCAACGCTAGTCCTTACTCATGCAAGCTCATAGTTCAGGATGGCAGGTAGAATTCTTGCTTCCACTGGCCATTACTGTTCATTCGTTGAACAAGACTAAAGACTAAATCTACTCTCTATTAGCCCGAGGAGTCCTTTCCCTCGGACACTCACACTTGAAGTTTTGTCGCATGGTACATCATACGTTTCAAAACAGACTTCACTTTTCGTCGAAAGACAGTTTCCGAAGTTCACAAATATTCAGTATAACGGTCACTCGTTTTTTTCAAACTCTGTACAACTGAGCTGTTTCTTTTCTTTTTTTGCTTTGCAGAAAGTTATCTCAGATGTCCTCAAATATGTTTGATATCCTCGCTGATTAGTTGATCGTCTAATTGCGAGTTTTGTCCGTTTATTATGTTGTTCTGGTTGACCCAACTCGTGATTACTTTAGGACTGAAATATTTTTTGGAGTGCACCGAATGACTGTAGAGTGACGCGGATACGTGAAAAAGTCAAGTCAACCCCGGGCTTTTATTACCTTATTTTCGTGCCCAGCAAATATCTCTACTCACCCGTTAGCAAGTTCCTTCCGGTAAAACAGACAGTATTTATTTTGATAGCACTAGTCAAAACCACCAGAGATGTTACAGGTTGACCATGTCTTCTTTTTTGTCTTACTCTGAAACAAGATACTTCCTCCGTTACAATATGTTTGTACGTTTGACAAGTTGATCTTGATTCAGGCAGGTAAAACGATTTCGTGGATGTTGTCAGTTCTATTATCGGCGCTGATCTCAGCACATTACCAAACGGTTGTTGTAAACATTCAGCGTACATCTCAGTTTGTTTTTGCTATTTAGTTCAGCTTTGAACTAGCCAACCAATCTGTTATTCGCTCTGATCTTGGCACCCAACCACACGCTTTCGTTGTGGTGTTTTGTTCACGAACAAAAGATCAGATGCTAGTCTAAACCAAGTATGATAACATCCCACCGAGCAAAACATTTCTGTCGGTATGTTTCTACCACAGTCTCATTCTAACATCTGAAAGTCTCAGTTTATCTACCCCTCCTGCTTCAGACTCCTGACATTTGACATTGCACTGGTGCTTTGAAGAACACTTAGAGGGATTTCTCTAACAGATCCCACCAGCAGTTTGGACCCGTGTTGAATGAGAAAAGAATAACACCACTGGCTGACCACACTTAATAAAACTTGGAAATAAATGCCAATAAGTTTCAATGGAGCGTCGCAAACGACATCACCTATTTCAGTTGTCTACCTCTTGAGTGCCATGAATCCATAAACTATGTAGCTCGAAAGTCGAACCCTGTGCTGGTATTGTTTGAAGACACTGAGAAGATGCGACACGTGTGACCTCTTTGGAGCTTTCTTCATACGGTGATATCTCTGGTGTCTGCCTTTTCGTTTGTTTTGTCAACGCTAGTCCTTACTCATGCAAGCTCATAGTTCAGGATGGCAGGTAGAATTCTTGCTTCCACTGGCCATTACTGTTCATTCGTTGAACAAGACTAAAGACTAAATCTACTCTCTATTAGCCCGAGGAGTCCTTTCCCTCGGACACTCACACGAGTGATTTCACAGCTGGCTCTTATTCGAGGAAGCCATATCCATCTTCCGTTTCAGTAGAGTTGCGTCCGGTATAAAAATAGAAATGGAACATGTTTCTGGGTAAACTGTGTGCTAGATGAACTGGCACAGTCATCATGCAAAGGCATTTTCGCACTCACGCAAAACTCTGAGTTCCTGATCAGGATACCTGTGGCTCGAAACCATAGCTGTCCGACGGCTCTTGTGCTTCTTAGCTGTCGCATTTAGTGTGTCGAAAGGGTGCTCATGGAATTGATTTCCTTAATGCCAACCTGAAAACCTAGTCAGAGTTCCATATCACCACCTATTCAAACAGTGTTATCGACACGTTGCGTGTTGATTCTAATAGCGCATGAAAAGGTCACGTACTATTGTGTTTAATGTCGGGAATCCGATAGACTGGTATGGATCTCCCACCTTACCCCCAATTCAGCAGCTTTTACTGCTACACTTTCCTTCATATTGTAGTGTGATCCGCGGATTACGATTGGTTTTTCAACCCCGCATCCGTAGACCATGAATCCTGATGCAGCCATGAATACTTTTTATGGCTATAAGTACGTACCTACCCCATTTATCTTTTATTGTCGTAGGAATCCGCTCACAGGTCGATATGCCAGCAAGGAAATGATACATAATTTTGGTGAGGCACGTAAGGTTAGTCTGTGGCGCCAATTGTGGATTTGGCTCGCTGAAGCACAACAAGAACTCGGATTTCCGGTGACGGGTAAGTTCTGGTCGCGTTTTCCCAGACTATGCTCATTACTTTGCGCTCTTCCATTATGTGCCGGCTGGAAATTCTGTTCAGCTGAAAATGAAACATACAGTTGATCAGTCGTCCATAGCTGAATGGTAGGAGACTCAACCATTATCCTCATATTTAAGGGTTTGAGTTCCTTTCTAGATTCGTGAGATTCCAAAGGCTTCGTTTAACGTAGTTGTATCGTGTAGGTTTCTACCTTTTGAAGCCAGAATAGAAGCTTCAGGGTTCCTTCACTGTTTATAAAATATGAGTGATCTCAGTGGGAAGACGACTTCACGAGTTACCTGTGTGAATTCGTCGTCCTAGAAGCCTGTGAACATTAAGTTACTTGTTATGAACTTCGTGGTTGATTGGTACTGGATGTCTTATTCCGTGTACATATAAGTTGACCACATTGTGCAATTGACGGCATTAATGTTCCACCCCGGTGATCTTTCGCTGTTGTAGCTCAAATGTCTGTGCATTCAATTCTCATCGGGAAAGTGCAGATCTTGAAATTTAAGCTCGCCTCTTAACCACCATGGCATTTTGGGCTCTCAGTATTAATAATGCACCAAGGCAGCCTTCACTAGCAAAGGACGTCTGTCATCACTTTTTTCACTGGACTAGTTTGGTGCCATATCAGTAATACTCCCATACGTTTGGTCCATCCATTTCAAGTTTTTTCCGTCAGATACAATAACTCCATCAGTGGTTCCGAATGACAAGGGTCTTTGCCCAAACTGGGTTGTTGAATCCGTAACCACGTGAGCCAAATACGTTTCATCATTTTACTTCAGAAATGTTATAAGTTTGAGAAACTTGTGAACTCTTGGCAGCAGATACACAGCAGATCGTTCGGTACGTACGATTAACTTAAGTCAGTATGAGTTTTTACCTCTTTGGTGGATTTTTGCTTTCACGCGTTCAGACGCACCGCTGGGTAATCTTCGAGTTGACATTGTTCTGCATGAAAACATTTTCTTAACGACTCATCTACACATCACTCTGTATCCCTAGTTGCCAAACGTTTCTGTATTACGAACCCTTTCCTGGAATTGCCTGCAGCTTCCTGGTTAATTCATTACCCTGATAATTTTCCACCCGGATAGTTCCTATTAGATTCTGTTGATTCTGGTGGCAAACTCGGGTGGGCCCTCATTTCAGCCCCGGATATTCCTCTTCGTTCATGATTTGTTTCAAGATGTACGCAGTCTTGTCTCAAATCAATGACCCCTAGATATTAGGACCGTATCAACATTTAGATCATCGTAGAGGTCACATGATGTAGCTGATAGACAAGACAGATGTGTAGCGAATCACCGGCGAAGTTCGAGTGACTAAGTATGATGGACAGCAAATGCCCTCGGCCTCCTATTTATTAGAGCACTCTTCCGGCAAGCGGGCGATTGACTGTCTGTTTCCGCCTACATCCTCGTCTTTTTGTGCATGCGTCGTATACTTGGACTTCTCATTTCAAAATTAATTACTCCGCCAAGCAGTGTGCTTTTAGCATGTGTGGCATCGACATTCCATGTAGCATCTGAAGCAGCCTGGTTTTTGATTGAAGGTCCCATTCAACCCTCCGGACACATTATCTTGTTAGCATTTAGGGTTCCATGATGTAACTAAAAGCAACGAAGAGCTTTGAACCTCGCCCTCGGACGAAGGAATTCAGTGGTATTTTCTGGTGGCTAGTGATAAATAAGTTTTTTTCTTAAATGAACGAATATTTATCCCCGTAAGAACAGACGCAACAACGTCCAGAATTCAACTATCTTCTCGGATTTCATGAAATGCTGTCGGATGTATATTATCAGCTAAGATGACAGGCAACATAGATGGACATCAACGGTTCAATTTCTGGTGTCATTCAAGTATGTAAGCGTTCCTTTTGTAGACTAATGCACGTTCAGTATATTCTGCCGGATCAGTTACTTTTTGATTGACTTATGGAGCATCAAAATAATATTTCATGTTTTCGAAAGATTTGGTGACCATCGTTAGTTTTATTGCTGGGCAACGTTTTGCTTTTCACACAAAAACTTCGTCAGGCCAAGTAAATAAGTTCACTGAAACAATTGCTAACGAAAGTTTTGTGGGTGAGCCGGGAAGCTGCGGGCTGTATCCAGTCTTCTTCACAGTTTGACGTTTTTATGCATCAGAAAGTGTCAACCAATTAAAAACAGCGGTCAAATGCGACAGCAGCTGGTCTCTTTAGGAAGGGTTGTATACAAACTGAACACGGGTGTTTCTCAACATGATATTCTGCCGAAAACATTGGAATGACAGAGGAGAAGCGGAGTTTTCTGTGGGCGCATTTTGTTTCTTTTTCATATGCTGTCAAATCAATATTGGAAGGAGTGACAGCGTTGTTCGGTTACACTTGATAGTTGAGATGTCTATATACGAAACAACTCTTCCTCCCCTAGAGCGATAGCCTATTGATCACAGATTGACCACTCTGTCCTGCGTGATACATGTGATGGGCGAGGTGACTCAGTGGTTAGAGAACGAATTTACTGACCGGAAGGTCCGTGGTTCAAACCCTCTGCTTGCTTCTCGACTTCCCCTTTCTGGGCTTGGGCAACCTGGCAATATCACAGGCTTCTTGCTTCCTCCAGGTGGCATGGCAGCCAGGCACCGAAAAAGTGTTACAGCTGAAAGATTTTTTTTCTAAAAAGCCCCTAACCACCTGCGAAATTATCGAATAAACACTCATTTACGAACTAACTTGTTTTTATTTTTGCAGTACATTCAGTTGCCTGAGAACATCACAAACGAGAGATTCAGCTGGGTTCCAGGTGAGTCTCTAACCACTGAGTCACCTCGCCCATCCCATGTATCACGCAGGACAGAGTGGTCAATCTGTGATCAATAGGCTATCGCTCTAGGGGAGGAAGAGTTGTTTCGTATATAGACATCTCAACTATCAAGTGTAACCGAACAACGCTGTCACTCCTTCCAATATTGATTTGACAGCATATGAAAAAGAAACAAAATGCGCCCACAGAAAACTCCGCTTCTCCTCTGTCATTCCAATGTTTTCGGCAGAATATCATGTTGAGAAACACCCGTGTTCAGTTTGTATACAACCCTTCCTAAAGAGACCAGCTGCTGTCGCATTTGACCGCTGTTTTTAATTGGTTGACACTTTCTGATGCATAAAAACGTCAAACTGTGAAGAAGACTGGATACAGCCCGCAGCTTCCCGGCTCACCCACAAAACTTTCGTTAGCAATTGTTTCAGTGTACTGAACAGAGGACCCTTCTTAAATTGCAGTGCTTCCTTCGCAGACGATAGGCTCAACGGGATTTGTAGAGCTGATATTCGCCTTAATTAATAGGATTTGCTGTTATTATACGTGGGACGTTAGCTTCGATTCGGACTACTTTCTCTTGGATAAGCAGCTAAGCCCTCAATTCGGGGCGCTCCAACTAAGTGGGTACTAAGAGCTTCAGATTTACACTATCTTTCAGAATTTCGGTTCCCTGTTTTTTTAGGCAGGCGTATATACAAGACTGTTTTACATGCTGTGCTGGTTCTTTTTCTGGGGAAGTTACTTGAAGGATGAGAAAACATGATCCTTCTAGAAAAGGGCTCCACAATCCCCTGATTTGGAATCACTGACCATCTTTGATTTGCCACCCCATCACCCCACACATTCACTTCTCCGTTTGGTTCGATAATACTCCAATGTGGATCACATCTCTCCGTGTGCCTTTCCGTTGTGAGTCTTCCATACCGGATGTTTACTCATTCTTTTGTCCTTGTGCGCCTGTAGATGAACAACTCGAAGAAATGCGCATGCATCGAGATGAGATCGATTTCAACCTTGCTGCAGAGGAGGAGAAGACGCGGCGGCATGATGTGATGGCCCACGTTTACACTTTTGCCATTCTTTGCCCAACGGCTTCACCTATCATCCACCTTGGTGAGTACATCTTTGCGACTCCTAGTCTTCGCTTTCAGTTTGATCATTTTCCCATACTTACCTTTTTGTAGGGAATCAGAAGACTCCAACCTTTCCCTTTTGTCTCTCTACACAGGTGCAACCTCCTGTTATGTGGGTGATAATGCAGACCTTATCATATTTCGTGACGCTTTGGAATTTCTGGCCGTCAAATTAGCTCGTTGTATTGATCGACTGGCGAAGCAGGCATATTTCAACAAAGACCTTGTTTGTCTTGGTCGAACTCATCTTCAACCTGCTCAACCCACCACAATGGGCCGCCGGATATGCATGTGGCTGCAGGATCTTCTGTTGGATCTGGAAAACATTGAGCGTCTCTGTCACCACACCATTCGCTTTCGCGGTGCCAAAGGAGCTGTTGGTACGCAGGCTTCGTTTCTAGACCTCTTCCATGGTGACCAAGCTAAGGTATGCCCCGTCTTCTTCGGAGGGATGGAACACCGAGCGAACCAAAAACATTTGTGTAGAATCATTACCATGCTCTTTTCACTGTGAATCTCATTCCCTA